GTATCTTTACTCTATCATGTCAATTAACTTGATTTTTTTCATTATGTCAATTAGCCATTTTTGAGACGGAATATTCCTAGAATTCTTTTTTTAACCGATATAATTTCCTTATGAATCACACAATTTTCATTATTTCCAAAAAATTTTTAAAAATCCATCAACACTCTATTTAAGTTCCAAAAGAATGAACATTTCTTGTATTTTAGTTCAAACTTTAAGAAAAACTTTGTGGAATAAATCGCATCAATGACACCGTGCAAATGAATTTGTTCATTTAAGGAATACAATTCAGCATTCATGGTCTATTATTTTGTCTGCATATTTCATTTGTATTTTTCACTTTATCAATTTTTTTACATTTTTTTTTTTTGTATTTTTCTCTGGTCATACCGTATATGCATCAAACACATCGTATATGCACCCAGCACATCGTATATGCAACTAACATATCCTGTATATGCATCAAATTTACTGTATATGCAACTAACATACCGTATATGCATCCAACACACCGTATATACAACTCACCGTCTATGCATCCAACTTATAGTATATGCAACTTATCGTATATGCATCCAACACACTGTATATGCAACTAACCGTATATGTAAGGACGTTTAACGTGAAGTTGTGTGATCCAACACACAGTATATGCAATTTACCGTATATGCAACCAACATACCATATATGCATCTAACTTACCGTATATGCATTCAACGCACCGTATATGTAACTAACCGTATACTTAACCAACACACCGTATATGCAACTAACATGCCGTATATACACCCAACACACCGTATATACAACTTATCGCATATGCATCCAATTCAGCATTCATGGTATAGTATTTTGTCTGCATATTTCATCTGTATTTTCCACTTTATCAAATTTTTTCATATCTTTTTTGTATTTTTATCCGGTCATGTATTCTGAGAGTAAATATACACAGTCCAGGATGACAAAAGACAGTCAGGGGTATGTTATCCAGTAGTTGAGGAAAAAATAATTAATTTTTTACAAAAATACTTCTTTTCATGATACATTCTGATTTTTTTGGTGTATCTAATGAAGGAGTACATAGTTTCAAGATGGATGAATACGACATTTTGCATGTGTCGGTTTGATTGATCCAAAATTACTTATGAAAAAGCTAATTATGTTGGTCCCAATATGGACAGTGTTCGAGCAACTTATTTTTGTCGAACCATGATAATTCATATGGTTACCGGATGAGCAGCTACGATGAATATGGTCGTTATTTTCCTTTTCGACAAGCAATTCAAGATGCTTGTTTAGAATCGTCGCACGTGCATTTGCCACCGCTAACGGCCCCGTCCTTGAGCTTCGAAAGTAGTGGCTGTTGCACTATCATGTAAAAATGCCATCAACTTGGGACAAAAACCTAGGATCTAAGATGAAAAAATGTTCTTTTTTATGGGGTTTTTTCGTCCTAATGAATTCAAGTAGGGTGTCTGATTTTCCTTTTATTGTGGTCATTGTTTTTTTTCTATAGTGCTTTGTTATATAGAATGAACTACCTCTATTTTTCATGTATAGTTATGTTTAATGAATTGTTGAGGAAATATTTAGAGCATGTTTGTTTTTGCCAAAATTTAGTTTTTTAGTAGAAGTTTTTATAAAAATCGATCAAATGTGTGGTAAAATTGATAAAAGTTCGAAGAAAACTAAGTTTTAAGAAATAAAGACTAAACATGGGCTTAGTGATTTTCACGAGAGAAGCTAAAGATTCTGAGTTGTTGTCACAAACTTTTGACAATATTGTTAACTCACCCTTAGAAAGAGTACTCGAGACTCACAATCATCAAAAAAATTGAGCAACTTCGAATAAAAAGAGTTGTAGTTAATCAAAACAAAGGGAACAAAGTATAGATCCAATTCTTTCAAGTTGAATCAATGCAAAAATTTCAAAATCTTCATCACAAACTTTCGACAATGATGCTAACTCACCCTTGGAGAGAGTACCTGAGACCTCACTATCATCAAGAAAATCAAGCTACTCAAAATAAAAAGAGTCGTAGCTCGTCAAAAGAAATGGAACATGAAGCATAGATTCGATTCTTTCAAGTTGAATTGATGCAAGAATTTCAAACGCTTCATCTGAAATGCCGATCCCATGGGAAGGACAACAACAGTCATACGATCAGAACCAGTAGCTATTCTTACGGAAAAGGATCTTCAGGTAGTTTTGAGAAGTTCACAAGCACCTACGATCTTAAACCCAGGAGATACACCATCCATGAGCTAGGGTCATGCCCCCGACCATGTGGTACAATCCAAGAAGCTTGCTATTTGCCAAATAAAATAGCAATTGGAGAGTTGAAACCAAACAATTTGTGTATCTTCATGCATTTGAAAAGGGATCTATATAGTTCATTTAGGTTTAAATTCTTACTCGAAAAATAAATTATTCACAATTAATGAAGTGACATCACGTACATCATTTTCTTTGCATAGTATGCTAAATTGGAATCTTTTCCCAATGTTGACTATTTTGAACCAATGTATCTACAAGTTTAAGCAGTTGGAAAACTCAAACTTATTTATCTAAATTATCTTCAACACGCCCTTTATGCAAGCAAGATTGTTACCAAAATTACCTTCACATCCAGATACATCAGTCAAGGTATTTCAAAATTAATTTATAATAATAGTTTTATGAAATCCCATAGTTAATGTTATAAGATATTATATTTGTTAACCTAGTAATACTGAATGTGATAGATTTTGCGTTTGGGAGTATTTTTGATAGATTTTGGTAATTCAACTTTAATAATTCTATTATGTTATTGATTTTTAGATGGTGAATATTGTTTGATTTTAGTTTTACTTTTGCCATTTTCTTAGGTTGTGTTAAGTGTATTTGATCATGGATATGTTTGTAGGTTGTATTGAGGATTTGGCTAGCTAATGGCTTTGGAAATAGATTGAAGATATAACTATTTACCAATCTTTTACTTTACTTATAAAGATTAAAATGAGTTGTGGTAGATATGATCTAGCATATTTATGTCCAATGACGTTTAACGTGAAGTTGTATGATCGCACTCTAAAATGAACAAGAGTGATTAACGTCGTGCATAAGTGACAAGTCGATCGAGTTATATGTAGACGGAGATTTGACTGCTCACCAATCATTTTACTTTACTTTTAGAGATTAAATTAGTTTGGATCGATATGATTTAGTATTTCATGGTTAAGGATATTTAACGAGAAGTTCTGTGATCGCACTCTAGAAAAAAAAAGGATCGACCATGGGCGACAAGTTGATCGAGTTGTACCTAGACGAAGATATGACTATTCACCAATCTTTTACTTTACTTTTAAAGATTAAAACGAGTTGGGGTCTATATGATCTATGATATTTATGTTCAAGGACGTTTAACGTGAAGCTGTGTGATCCAACACACCGTATATGCAATTTACCGTACATGCATCCAACATACCGTATATGCATCCAATAACCGTATATGCATCAAACTTACCGTATATGCATCCAACATACCGTATATGCACCCAATACACCGTATATGCAACTTACCGTATATGAAAATAACATATACTATATATACATCCAACTTACCATGTATGTAACCAACTTACCGTATATGCATCCAACACACCGTATATGCAACTAACATACCGTATATGCAGTTATTGACGTGAAATGAAAAATAAATGTTGTTGTGTTTGTTTTCTATCTCACTAGCAATTTCAAAAATAATTTCGTTTGCATAGCCATCGACCCCGAAACTTCATGTAATTTTATAGTAAAGTAGGAAATTCTTTATATTATGACATATCCAAAAATTAGCTTCTACCGGCAACATATGTGGTATTAAAATATTTTTCAAAACCTCGCAGCTACTCAGTTTAGAAGGTAACCCAACGCAGTT